TTCCTGTATTGAAATCCCATTTCCTTTAGGCTATTTTTATACGGTTCGGTCACATACATTGACTCCAGCTTCCTTCCATTTATGCTTCATCTATTGTACTTTTTCGGTTTTCAAGACAAATGGCCTTAAGTTGTTTGTCTTGATGCTTTGATGTCTTTCTTGGTCTACCAGTACACTTGGCTTTAACAACCATTCCATGCTGTTTGTATTTGGTCCACATGTTGGATACAGCTGACTGTGAACAGCCCACATCTTTAACAACCATGTGTGAAGAGTTACCTTCTTCAAGAAGTTTTACAATTCTCTCTTTTGTTTCAAGAGACATTTTTCTTTTTGGAGCCATGGTTCGTGCCACTCCACTTCGTCCAGCAGCCCTCCAAGGTGTCATGACTGCAGGTGTTTTTAACTGCAGACCAACGAGCAGATCTAATCTGAGGCAGGTGTCCATTTAGGGAAAGGAAATTGACTGGGTGTGTCCTTATTTTCTACCTCCAATTTGAGTGATTCCATATTTTTCCCTGTGCTTGTACGTATACATACGTATCATGTTTTTTGATCTGAGTTTGTTTTATAGAATGAAATGTCTGAGTGAGTGCTCATCCAACACTGGTGATTCCATACTTTTTGCCAGGGGTTGTRTGCCWACTCTTAAAAAATGCACAAAAAAAAGAGTAAGGCCATRAGGCTTCTTTCCACTCTCCCTGCTGAATCAAGACATGATGCAGCTTGGATAAAKCTGGTGCTTTTATTAGGAAGATTTTGTGTTTATAAACATGTTAACCAAAAGCAAATGAATGAGCCTCGTTATTTTCAGAGAAGCAAGCAACAATCACAACCAAAAGGTGTTTTTCCAGATGTGGCCATAAGGTGTCAGTATTTCTGTTCCTCTTCAAGGAGCTCTCTGTTCCTCTTCTTCTTGCGTTGCGGCTCTTGTGATGTGCGCCTGCGCGCAGAGTAATTCGACCCACAAACCCGGATGCAACCAACGCCTAGTCTGTCGGTAGAAAGAAGGTGAGTAGGTGAAGAAAATTATGATTAATTTAAACTATTYTTAACGAATTACGCAGTGGAACACACAGACAAACATCACTCGCGATCATAAATCWTTATGTTGATGCTGCGTTAGTTTATTACTTTACAAATGTCATAAGTTTCCCGTCTAAAAGTTCAAATTAGTTGTTGGTTTACATGTAGACAAAAAAGAAAAGTTGTCACAAAAATAGTCACTTATCAGCTCTGTTTGTGTTGAATATGGTTTGTTTTTTCTGTCGTTATGATATGGAAGTGAAGTCACTAAAAGCCTGAGTTCTCTTGTTTGACAAAGAAAAAACAAAGTTTTCTGACTCCCACTACTTTTGAATGTGCGTCAGAACTGTTTTTACTTGAACAGGTTGTTTTAAGTACCGTTTTTTTATTATTATTATTTTAAGTTTGTGTTTTTAGCTTGCAGCAGGCTTCAGATCTCAGGTTGTTAGTTCTTCTTATTTAGCGGAAGTGTTGTCGSTATCCGCTGCTAAATCACATTATGGGCCTTCTGTTACTAAGCCTTTTTTTAGTTTCTGGTATGAAACCTATGCGGAAGTTGTTCACAGTCATTAGTGATATTTGTTCACACAAGTCTACTAAGACCTGGCTATGGGCTTATGTTTTATTTCTTACATTTATGAAGAAAGGCACATAAAAAGCGCTGAAATTGTTAAAATACCTTTACATATGTTGAAGTATTCAAACTTAAAGTACATATTGCAGAAAAATGCTCAACATTGTTTAATTGATTTAACCTTTCTTAATAAGGACTCAATTTTAATTTCAAAGTTGGTTATTTTGAACCAGTAACTATTTAACATCATATACATCCCAAATTATCATTACCTGATGTAAATTTGTTCATCATTCTGAAAGTAATTACAAGGGTATCAGTGGAAAACAGAATAATTGTCAGTTTTCTTGAGCTAATTAGTCACTGTACATCTCAACCTAGTATAAATGGTTTACTAACTTACCTTAATTTAATCTATTCTAAATTACTTGTTTTGTTGTGTAAATGTCATTTCTTTGCTTCATTCAGAATATTTGTWGGTGGGAACATTTCTTCCACATTTGTTTTTACTTCTCTCACCCAGTAAAACATATGGAAACAAAAAGTAATGTGGAAGGACTTCGTGTTCTTTGTTTTCTTCTGGTTAAAACGACCTACGAGGCATCAGTGTTAAGACTGAGGACTTGTGGCTTATTTAAACCYAAAGACAGCAGGGGGGTAATGGGGAAGTGGTGTTTACCCAAACACTTGTTTAAGCTTTTTTTTCTCTCCCAAATTAGCATTTGTTTTATATAATAGTTTAGTTGTTTGTAGAGTGTTTTGTTGCACTGTATGTTTTTTTTTCCTGATGGCATATTAGCCATTAATAATAACAAACTTACTGGCTTAACAGTTGAGGGATTACAGATGATAAAGTTTTTCAATATTTGTACTTTTTGCCTTTTTTTCTGWGAACATTGCTTGCCTTATGACTGTAAACGATATGATGGACAAATGAATAAAGCAAGCAATTACTCAATGTCAAGCCTAAACAAGACGTGTTTTTAATAGTGAATAATAGTACAAATTGTTAATTATCAAAACAGCAATTGTTCTGTCACACTGTAGATGGTTGGTAGATGTCTATTTGTTTGTTTTTAGCTGTTTATGCATGTGGAGGTGGTACTAAAGTGTGTAGTACTTCCTCTCTGTGTCTGGTTTGCTAACTGGTACATTGTTTACTGCTGACACCTTTTCACACTTTTTTCCCCCTGTGGTTTTTGCAGATGCAGACTATAAAATGTGTGGTGGTAGGAGACGGTGCAGTTGGAAAGACCTGCTTACTGATCTCCTACACAACCAACAAGTTCCCTTCAGAATATGTGCCAACAGTAAGAAGATTTAACGAGTCTTTCTTTACATGTCCTCTGGACTGGAACACATTAAACTCATGCACTGCCTCGTGGTTTCTTCACTTCTTTTTAAGGTGTTTGACAATTATGCAGTGACAGTGATGATCGGAGGAGAACCTTACACACTCGGTCTCTTCGACACAGCAGGTAAATGTGGTTTATAATTAATTTTTTTAGCATAATTCTGTCACTCTCAAGCTAATAGAAAATGCCCCTTTTCTGTCTGTCTGTGACTGTTTTCAGGTCAGGAAGATTATGACAGGCTGCGTCCTCTCAGCTACCCACAAACAGACGTCTTTCTTGTATGTTTCTCAGTTGTTTCTCCATCGTCATTCGAAAACGTTAAAGAGAAGGTCAGTTTTCACACTAACATGCTGATTATAACAAATGTTCAATGCCTCTCATGTTGAAAGATTTTAAAAGCTTGTAAAGCTGCAAATACATAAAAAATTTAAACTAGGAATACAAAAAGATATTTACTGGAAAATTATCTGGAACGCTAAGCATTAGATGTTGGGAAAATGGACAACATTTCAGTTTGTAAAAATACTAATTGGTATAAATCACATTTTGTGAAAACATGGTCGTCCATGTTAAAATGTAAATACGACCTCCGTCAGACCCCAGGGTGAACAGTCCACAGCCCTGAAGTGACCCTCATGCACAGGCAAAGACAAGACGTCACATGCAGCACGTTAAATTTACAGAAGTAAATATGGATGCTACACGTTAGCATGTGTGATTCTAAAGTTGTTGCGCAATCAGGATGAATAAATTATCTATATGCTTGCTGACAAAGCAACTGGTCCTTGTGTCCTGTAGCTGATGATGAGCTCATTTCCAAGCTTTAAGTTGTTTCACATTGGTATTGATAATGTTAATACCTGGATTGATCCAAAATACTCCTACCTCTGTGCTGTACTGTAAAAGTCGGATATAATGTAACATGATCATAAGTCTGCAGTGGCCTTAAAAAACATTGGATGTGTATCTGATTTAGTACCACATTTGAAAATGATGTGGATCATATCAGAAAAAATATCTTGTCATGTTCAGACTGTTATAAACAATCAGATTTGGGTTGCATGTAGGCAGAATTGTATTTGGGCCACTGTWATCTGCAGTGTGAACATAGCCACAGTGTGCTGTTTATGTTGTAGTTTTAAATTGGTGCTTTTAATTTGAAGGAACTTATCACTATTTCAGATTGTTCCCATTGCTCCTATTTTTAAATTCATGCGTCTGTTAATGGATCATAGCTCCTGCTTAATAGTTGGAGCTTTCTTGGCTTGTTATGAACCTGTGTGTGATAAACGGACATGATCCGACCAGTTGCCGCGTGGAGCAATCAGAGTGCACACCTTGCAACTAGAACTTAAAAATGCATTGCTTCAGTGCTCATTTGTGTTGCATCAACTCACAGGTTTTCATGTAGTCTTTGCAGACAGTGCGCAGATTTTCTGTCTGCCTAGTTTAACTGTCAGTTCTCTGCTGGATTTAAACATTTTCAGTCAGATTAACTTTGTGCACAGATTAAAAAGAGACTAATCATTCCACCTGTTTTCACGATGAGCTGCCAAACTACATGATTACCCTTTTTTTGAAACTGGTGGACAATCATTTTTTTCTGTTATGTTCCTGCCGACATGCTTGAAACCAGCAGCATGAGTTTCACAACAAAACCTACGTGTATTTTTATATACTAAATATTGACCTGAGTTTAAATGTGCTCTGGAAGCATACCGCCTCAGGACACCTTTTTGTTTTATGTGACATGAGCCAGTTAAATTGAGTCATAAAGAGGAAAGTTTCAATCTTGAGTTATTTTCAAATTCTCCATCTCACCAGCTTCAAAAGGAGATTTTGTGTTAAACTGGGGACATTTATTTATTTGTTTTTTCAAATTTTTATTTGTCTGTAGTAGGGTTGGGCAATATAGGCAAAAAATTAATCACGATTAATTGTGGTATTTAGCCGATAACGATTAATTTGACAATTAACCCCCTGTTGATAAGTAAATTACAGAATGTTTTTTTTTTTATGTTCGTCATATTTGAAGCGGAGAGGAGCACTGGTGGCTTTAATCATATTAACTGTCAAGTGCCAAAAAATAATCCATTAAAGCTTTTCTGGCGATTAATTGCACATGATATAATTATGCCCAACCCTTGTCTGTAGTGACATTATTGGGAATTCCAGATGTAAAATCTAATCTAATATCTAATGCAAAATCATGTTATGTCATTCACTCATTAAAAACACACCCAGGATGTTGCTTTGACTCATTCATGCATGTTTGAGAAATCCTTGAATCTCCTGTGGCAGCCATGTGGAGCTGCCTAAATGCTTGCTGGTACAAAGC